CAATGTGATGGAGTCATTTGTCTAAGCATCTACCAAAAAGACTATTGAGACGGCATGTTGCGATGGTAGGACAGGCATCTTTAGATCTCCCATCTGTGTGCATACATTTGGACAAAGAAGGAAATCAAATCTGGGGATAAGTCCAAGCAGAGGAGACAAGGAGGGCCTCTATGTTCAGTCTGATAAAGAAGGCACAGCTTTCTTCATGTCTTAAACATTTGTAAGATAATATTTTGTACGTTAAGAGTAAATCATACACACGAGTAGCTTAAAGAAAAATAAGACAAACATATCTCCATCCTCCCATCCAACTTAATAAGTAGAGCATTTACTGATGCTTTTGATGCCCCTGTCAGTTCTCCATTTCACATCCCCCCTTCTCCCTGACAGAAGTAATCACTCTGATTTTGGCTCCTCATCCCCTTTCTTTTTCTCTTCCTAGTTTTGCCATCTCTCCATTCCTGAACAACGTATTATTTAGTTTGAATGTTTTTGACTATTTACACATGGAGTCAAACAGACAACATCCTTCTTTAATTTGTCCTTTTAAATCAGCATGATGCTTGTGAGCATTTTAATTGTTGCGTAGTATCCCATTGTGTGAACAGACAAAACTGTTTACTTATCCGTTCTCTTGTCGATGCACATCTGGGTGGTTTCCAGTTTTTGGCTGCTATGGACATTCTTGTTCTTATGTCCTGTAGCACATGAGCAAGAATTCCTGTAGGATATATTCTTTGGAATGGAATTTCCAGGTCGTAGTATTCAACTTTACTAGGTAATAACTCATTAACTATTTTCTGCTTAGTTCAAAGGGGCCAGGGTTGCCAGATTTAATAAATAAAAATACAGGATGCTCAACTAAATTTGAATTTCACATAAACAACCCGTACTCTTTTAGTGTTAGTATGGTCCATGCAAAAATTATATTTCATCTGGCGACCCTAACAAAGTCAGTAAACTTTACCAAATCACAAACATTGGCCAACGAAGTGTGAGCGGTTGGTAGAATATTTGGTCCTTTTTCCCTCTGCCAGAGCAGCAAACCCAGTTGTTAGCTCAGAGGGCTCAAATGCTTGCTAACCAGTATGCAGGTAATTAACTGGCTGAACCAATATGTATGCAGCATCAACTTGATGCCAGGCAGGTGCTAGATGTTGGGAATACAACTATAAACATGACAGACAAGGTCCTTGTCCTCCCTAGGCAGGGAAATGGACAGCGGGGAAATCCTGTATGCACTATGTGGGCAGTGGTATGCTGGTGAGGGAGCCCTGATTTGTAGCTTTTGATGACTTTGGAGTTATAAATACTGTTTTCAAGCTACCAGTGTGACATCACTGAACTGAGTTGGGGAGAGATGCACACAATCTGCTCTCTGCGCAGTATGAACTGGCTCTAGCACCCCGCTGTATGGGAGAATACTTAGAAAGGACACTTCATCCATTCTCTGGGCTAATTTGTGGTTGGTTTGGGGGAAAGGAACTTAGACATTATTTCCTCAAATTTAGAAGGAATCAAATGGTAAGAGGTATAAAATGCATTTATTATATCTATAGTATTGTCTGCTTTGCAAATATTTTTACTGTGATGTATAAATGGAGTCTAATAAACATAGTTGTAAATTATGATCAGTGTATAGATTAGGGCTCAGATATTCCCTTTTTTCCTGCATTGCTCCCTCACCTGTATCCCAGTTCACTGATCATCATTCATTCATTCATTCATTCATTCCACAAACACTGACAGAGCCCTTGGTCTGTGCCAAGCACGGTACTAAGGGCTTGAGTCTATCCTCATGGAGCACTCAATTCACAGAAAGAACATTTTCCCCAGCTCATCCTGATTCTTTCTGGGCAGGTTTACTGCATTCTCCTTTTACTTGCTCAGTTCACTCCTGTGTTCTTATGCTGACGTTCCCTCTGGGAATATTTTCCTAAAGAACCTTGCCAAAACCCCCCTTTCAACGCTCTTTCCTTGCTTTTCTTTCAATTTCTCCTTCCCCAGAGTGGCAGGTGTTCTTGCTGTCTGAATCTGGACTCTCCTGACTATTCTGTACCTTGTCCTATTGTGCAAGTTATCACTCTAGCCATCCCATCTCTATCAAACAACTTTTGAATGTCTATGTACTAGCTGATGTGCAAGATATGGGAGCCTCTACTCACCCTTGAAGTTTTCATTTATCATAATCATTTCATAAAATTACGTGTTTGTATAATTTTAGTTTTAATTACTTAAAAATGATCCATTGTGGGGGCGCCTGGGTGGCTCAGTTGGTTAAGCGACTGCCTTCGGCTCAGGTCATGATCCTGGAGTTCCGGGATCGAGTCCCGCATCGGGGTCCCTGCTCAGCAGGGAGTCTGCTTCTCCCTCTGACCCTCCTCCCTCTCATGCTCTCTGTCTCTCATTCTCTCTCTCTCAAATAAATAAATAAAATCTTAAAAAAAAAATGATCCATTGTACCAAGTTTGGAAAATCATAAAGGAGGAAAGAATAATTATCTAATCTCAGACCCAAGGCTAGCTATTATTAGCTATTATTAACTGTTTGGGGTACATCCTTGTAGTCATTTTTTATGTATGCTTGTACACAAATTGGGATCATACTTACCTTTTCACTTACTACAGTGTGAAAGTTTTATCATCTATTTCAGTATTCTTTGAAAACCTGATTTTAAATGATGGCATGGTATTCCATTTTCAGGCTAAGCCACGGTTTATTTAATTAGCTCCCTACTGCTGGCAGTAGCCTCTTTACAAGTAAGTTAGTGTTGGTGATCTTTAACATAAACCACAAGAAAGCAGGAACCAATCGTTCAATTGTCCTTCCTAGGCAGCATTCATAACAACAATATATCTGAATTGAATTATGTTTATGCTGTGATCTTCTACTTACCATTTAAAATAAAAGGAGCAGGCCTGCCTAAAATGTAACCTGGGTTGGTATAAAGATAACCTAAAGCTGTGGAGTAGGTTGGGAGGAAGATAACCTACCATCAAATCTCTTTGGTTGGGTTTTGTTTACTACTGAGGAGGAGCTAAGCTCTGTATGAAGTCTAGGCATTGGTAGGCTCTTTAGAGATCACCTAGTGACGCTAACCTCTTTTTCACAGATGAGGAAATTGAATCAAGAGGGATTGTTACCTGCTGAGACTAATACTCAGGTGTCTTGACTTCCTCTGTCCTATGCTCATTTCACCAGTCAGCTAAGCTTAGTCTTAAAATACAGAAAGATCATACATTTACCTACATGTCCTTTAGAGAAACTCTGCTTCCCCTTAGAGTGCATGTACTTTGGTATAAAAGTCCAATAGTAAGGTCCTAGGTATGTATCCAAGAGAAAAGAAAGCCTATGTCCACACAAACACTTCTTTTTTTTTAAAGACTTTATTTGACAGAGGGAGACACAGCGAGAGAGGGAACACAAGCAGGGGGAGTGGGAGAGGGAGAAGCAGGCTTCCTGTGGAGCAGGGAGCCCAATGTGGGGCTCAATCCCAGGACCCTGGGATCATGACCTGAGCCAAAGGCAGACGCTTAACAACTGTGCCACCCAGGCACCCCCCACACAAACACTTCTACAGGAGGGAAAGTTCACAGTAGCACTGTTTGTAATAGCCTGAATGTGGAAACAATGCAAATGTTCATCAACAGGTGAACAATACAAAGGGGTATATTCATACAAAGGAATACTCAGCAATAAGAAATATAAACTATGAAGTGCAACAATGTAGATGAAACTCAATTATGTTGAGAAAAAGAAGCTAGACAAGTACAGACTATGATTCCATTTATCTAAAATTCTGGAAAATGCAAACTAAGTGACAGAAAGCAGATGTGTGGTTACTTGGGGTGGGGTTGGAGTGCAAGAGGAACATCAACAGGGTAGAAGAAACTGTGGAGACTGATGGATATATTATCTTGCTTGTAGAATTGGTTTCAGGGTTGTATACACATCAAAACTTATATTGTACACTTTAAATGTGTTTATTGTATGTCAGTTATATTTCACAAAAGTTGTTTAATTTGTGAGATCTGCCTCTTAAGTTTGAAAAGCACAACAGGACTAAAAACTCACTGAAGAATCTGAAGCATAAGAAACCTAAAATTACTTCTGGAGATAACTGACAACCAAGGTTCTATTCTAGTATGATAGTTTATCTGAACACAACATTACTGTGAGAAATGCAAAGTCATAAAAATAAAAAATAGAAATGACATTTTTGTCCCCCTGGTAATCATACCATTTCCTCCTGTCTATATGCAGTTGCTCTATTATCATAATCTGTTTAGTGTTCTATTCATTTTGGTTTTTTAGAGAGCAATAACCTTGGTGTATTTTTCCTGAACTATTAGACTGCTCTTTTATGAACAAGATGCCCAATCCCTGGTGTGTTTTACGTGTGTGGGTGTGTAGAAAGCTACACTGTATCTATAAATTTTAGCAAATACTGTAATTTGCTTTGGGATTTTCTAGTCGGGACTCAGCAGTGGCATGGAAACAAATGGGAACTTTCTAGAAACCATGCCCTCTTCCACAAGATGAACATTGGATAGTTTCCCTAAATATGTGAATTAATCAAATTTTTCTATTTCGATTGTCCATTTACTGTTTTTAAAAAAAGAACTGCTATACCACACACAGAGTGCACAACACGGGTAAAGATTCTTTCTCTTTTTAGAAAACATTCATAAAGTTTTATTTTCACCCACCCTCGCCCCCCGCTTAGTTTCTTAGCTCTTTTATTCGGTAATCACTCCCATTCTGCAGACGGGGAGACGCACGCAGGTTTTTCTGCACAGTGCAGAGGGGCAAGAAAGAAGCAACTCAACTTTTCAGTTCCATTTTGAGAAATGATCACATCGAACTCCTGCGAACGACAGCCCAGCGAGAGCAGAAGCATTTCTCCCCAGGCTGGGTGTGGGTCGGGAGCCAGGCGCGCTTCCGCGGGAAGGAGGGGGGGTGGGGGAGTCAGGTGGCATCGGAGCGGGAGCCGGAGCCCGAGCGACGCGGCGGGGGCGCGTGCGGGGTGCGCCTCCCTCCGGCCGGCGCGGGGAGGCCGCCCCCGCGCACGCGAGTCCGCCGGCCCGGGGCTCCCGCTCCGCGCTGCGATCCGCGGGTGCGCCAGGGGCGCCCGGCGCCCGCGTCTCCTCCCTCCCTTGCGCGCTGGCTCCCTCTCCATCCCCCCCCGCCCCCAACCCCTGGCAGGTCCCTCCCCCATGCCTGCTCCCGCGGCCGCCGCCGCTACCGGAGGCGCAGGAGCCTCGCGATAGTGTTTGCACAGGCGGCGCGTGACGCCGCCGCCGCCTGTAACTGATGCAGAGGTTACCCCGCCGCCTCAGCCGCCACCCACCGCCCGCCGCCGCCGCCGCCGCCACCCAAGCGACGCCGGGGGCCGACGCACTGCAGAGGTGCCGGCAGGTTCCGCTCGCGGAAGTGTCCTCGGCCGGCGCAGCCCGCGCTCCGCCCGCACTCCAGCGGGCGCCCCCTCGACGCCTCCGCCGCCGCGCTTCTTCCCTCCGCCTCTTCCCCGGCGCGCCCGCCTGCTCCCTCGCTTCTCCCCCTTTTCCTCCTCCCCGTCCCCTCTCCTCCCCTCACCTCTTCCCCCCCTACCTCCCCCCCTTCTCGGTTTCCTCCCCCATCCCCTTGACTCTCCCCTCTCTGCCCTCGCTCCCTCGCTCGCCCTCAGCGCGGCCCCCGCCATGACGGAGGCGGGTGCCGGTGCCGTTGCCGTTGCCGCCGCTGCCGTCGCAGGGGGGGAGTCGGGTTCCCAGAAAGTAGCTTGATGAGTGTCCAAAGTAGCAGTGGAAGTTTGGAGGGGCCGCCATCTTGGTCCCAGCTCTCCACGTCTCCAACCCCGGGCTCGGCGGCGGCGGCCAGGTCCCTGCTGAATCACACGCCGCCATCCGGGAGGCCCAGGGAAGGTAAGCGCCGTCGCGCCCGCGCCCGCTTGCGGGCCTGCTCTCCCGCGCCGCAGCCCCCGCGCCCCCCGGGTCTCTTCCCCCGACCCCAGGGTGGGGGATGGTGGCGAGGTGGACGCGAGGCCGCCCGGCTCCGGGGAGGTGGTGCGCTGGCTGTGGGTGGTGGTTCGCGGGTGGCGGCGGAGACGGACGAGGGGGTGCGCGCTGGAGGGGACGGGGCGAGGCGCGCAGACTCGTATGGGGTTCCTAAGAGCCAGTACTGCTAGGGCGAGAAGCCTCCCCCCGGACGCCAACCCCTTTCTGCTCCATTTGCTAGTACACTCAGCACTCTTAACCTCCTGGCCTCCGGTCTCTGGTGGGTTTTCCCTCCCGTTGAAGCATTCATCCTTGAGCCCCCTCCCCTTCCCTCGCGCACTCCTCCCATAGAGGCGGTCCCGGCTCTGCGAGCTTTGCAGCCCGGGACCTGAAGGATGCCCTCGCTAGCAGGGTCCCTGCCCTTTGGGGAGAGTCGCTTAAATTATCAAAGGCGACTTTGATCCCCTGCCTGGCCCCTTAGAGCAATTTAAACGACAGACCGACTCGTGGGCAGGCTTTTAAAACCACCCCCTCCAGATGGCTGCAACTTTCTCTCCTTCGCCATCACCTCCTGCGTGTTTGTGCGTTATCGCTCTTCTGCAAGTAGGCTACTGTTCTCTGACGGGGTCGTGGGTTTTGTGAGAAATATCGGCGTGAAGGTTAATGCAAACACGCACCAGATCGGTTACAATTGTTTTCTAAGTTTTCTGGTTTCTTGCATGCAAGTGTGCTGCCACCAGATGTAGCAGTTACACAGCTAGTAAGATACAGGAGTGCTTTTTGACTAAAATTTCAACTTGCTGTATTTAACTTTAAGTATACGACATAAAATGAAATTTGGGAGAACGCGCATTTATGAAGGAAGAATAAATGTGCATGGAATCGCATTTAATGCTCTTTTGTCTGGGAAAACGTTTAGCGGTATTCATCAGCAATTGGTAAATGGGTTGTTCACTCCCAGTTGTGTCACACAAGGAGACTGTAGCCACATTTTCAGAAAATGTCTGGAAGTCCAAGAGTCTGCTGAATCCTTCAAAGAAACCAGGAGCTATGATTTATGTAGGAAATGGTGGGGTTAATTTATTTTGAAAATATCTGTCAATATTTACTACCCAGCCTTGACAATTGTTAATCAAGTGTTTTGTGCCCTGAATCTAGTGGTTCAGGCATAGCATTCTTTGTCATTTTGTTCCTGTGAGCATGTGTGAAAGTGACAATAGGCTCAAAGATTGGCATGAATTTGCTCCAGAAAATTCATGGGAACGTTTGATTTATGGCATCCATTAAACATGCTGAACACACTGACAGACATTTTCCCTCTTTTCCATTTCACCCCCAACACTGAGTTCTGATTATTAGAAGACAAAAGTTTATTTATTGACTAATTCAGATTTAGTGCATCTGGAGATTTTTCTTTTTGCACTTGAAAATTTGTAAATGAATGTTTCAAAATCTATTTTGTACATAGAGCAGTTGGTGCTTTTAGCATGCTTCTATTTTTGTAGTTTCATTAAGATGCTTAATGATAGTGTTACCAGTGATAGTGTAATGAGTGGTGGTAAATGATGGTCTTGGGAAAGGCTGTCTTCTTTAAAGGCTTTACCCTTTTTCCATTCTTTCATTTCTCAGATATTTATTGAGCCATTTCTGTGAGCCAGGGACTGTACTAGATACTGAGGACATAGTGTTGAATTGTTCATCTGTAACATCAGTTATCAGTGTTAGTAATTTGGGGGCTGCAAAATCTAGATTGTGAGTTTCTGAGGTTACTTAAACTGTAGTTTAAAAAAACTTCTGTACTGTTCTGCACTTTTCCTGATGTTTGAAAATTTTGAGGGGTTGGAATAATTTAGCTTGAATTTCCAAATAAACAATTATTTCTAGAAGTTTGGATTACAGTAGGCTTTTATGTAAATTGGTGAATCTTTTGTTAATGAAATAAGACATGCTTTTGTGATCGTTATATTTCACCAAGTACCTCTGTGGCCACAGTGGTATATTTCTTTTTGACCGACCAGTATGTAAGTTAAAACTGTGTTAATCTTCTCTAGGGATATATATATTTATCTTGAAGTTATAGTCTCATATCATTAATGCAAACAGGAATTGCATATATGAAACCCTAGACATAATGATGGGGACATTTTCTATTGAGTGAGATCCCAGTTTTCATTTTAACAAGTGTTTAGCATTTCTTGCAGGTATACACATTGGTATATTATATAAGTTGATGTAAGTTGAGAGAGCTTTGGACTTACGGTGATTGTTAGTAAGAATATAGTTAATATTAGTGGAACTTGAATATATGTATCAAGGTGAGAACAAACTTTCTGAAAAATTGAAGCAATTTAATGTAATACATGATAGAAAAATTTAAACTTAAAAGATACATATGTGTGTGGACATGTATTTTAAAGTTATGTGGTAAACTGCTTTTAAGCAAACTTAACTTTGAAAATGGGCTGTTTTTGAAGATGTATCATAAATATCTGTAAAAATTGATTATTTTGAAGTTTTGATACATTTGAAACCAAAATCTAATATTATAATCTATTTTCAGTGCTGTGTATTTTGACTTTCATCCTTTCTCACCCTGTTCTCATTCTTATCTTAATATAGTTTTACTTGATTACAAATAAAATACACCTTTAAATATTAAAAGATCTAGGAATTTGTTGGAATTTAGGAATTTGTATGATAGAGTGTAGACAACATCTTTTCCTGAGTCCCAAAGCTTTTCTTTTATCAATCTTTAAGTTCCCTGAGAGGTGCTCAGCAGTGTAGCTCTAGATTTCATGTTGGATCATTTATTTATTTATTTATTTATTTATTTATTTATTTATTTATTTATTTTTTAAAGATTTTATTTATTTGACACAGCGAAAGAAGGAACACAGGCAGGGGGAGTGGGAGAGGGAGAAGCAGGCTTCCTGCTGAGCAGAGAGCCTGATGCGGGGCTCCATCCCAGGACCCTGGGATCATGACCTGAGCTGAAGGCAGACGCTTAACGACTGAGCCACCCAGGCGCCCCTCATGTTGGATCTTTTAAACGTGTGATTTCTGTACCATTTTATCTTCTAATAATCCTGTGATTAAGGAAATGGGAAGTTAAGAAATTAAGTAAATTTTCAAATAGAGGTCAGTTTTGCTTCACTGAGACCTAGGAACCCAGTGTCATATTGGCTAGATGAGCAGATGGGGTTTTTTTGGCCTGTCAGTACATGGTTACTTTTAAATTAGTTACTGCTAAGAATCAAATGATTATACAGAAGACTTACATTTTCTTTTCTCTTCTATTTTACGAGGTATGAATAATTTGCTTTGCTTTTATGTAAATAGTGAAAGTAGTTTGGTTAAAAAGATAATGGCACAATGTAATTAATCTGTTGCTCTGTTTTCATGTTTATAGACTGCATCCTTTAGAAGAATTAAAGTATTTGACTCTGGGTGATTGAGTTAATACATGTAGGGAGTTGTTAAAAGTAAAGGTATACCAAATGGCCTTTTAGTTTCTTGAAGTCACTAGCTGGAGGAGGACAGGGCTTTATGTTTAAGGATTTTAGCTTATGAATAGATCCATGGTAGATGCCTCCTTTATAGAGGCACATGTACGTGTTAGAGGAGAGAGAAAAGGAGAGAATCCCAGAATTTAGTTAGCTGCCTGGGAATCTGCCCCTGGGAAACAGGTTTTTTGGTCTCAGGAACCCTTTACTCTCTTAAAAGTTACTGAGGACTCGACAGAGATTTTGTTTATGTGGGTTATGTCTATTGATACTTAACTATTTTAGAAATAATTTCAAAAATATTAACTTATCTAAACATAATAAACTGATTACTTGTTAACAAATTTTTAAATGAATAAAAATTCTAAAACAAAAACTTTAGTGAGTCTAGTAGCATTGTTTTACATTTTTGCATCACTTTAATTTCTGGCCTATTAAAAGACAGCTGGAGTTTGCTTCTGCTTTCAGTCTGTTGTGCTTTATTTTGATTGAGGTATTGTGAAGAGAATACAGCTTCACATAGGTATGTAGTTAGAAAACTTGATGTATTTTAATAGCCCTTTTAGAAATTGTATGTATTCTTTGATATTACACCAAAATTTGACAAGTGGCAGGTTTTTTTTTTAAATGTTACTTGCAATATATGAGTAGATTGTATTTCAGAATTGTCTCCGAGACCCACAAGAAATCTGTGGATCATATAATTATAGCCTAAGATGAGACCACTGAAAGGGTGGAAAGCGTGATAGCTGTCTTCAGGTGTTTCAAAAACATAAATAGCAGAGAGAGTAGATCCATTGTGCTGTTTTAGAATGTAGACCAGCAGGTGAAAGTTAGAAAGGCATAGGTGGAATTCAGTATAATTTGTTGACCAGGATGTAAGAAGGGTATAGCAGCTAGTGGAAAAAAACTGCTCTTAAAGTGTTTAGTGATTCCAGAAACCAGTATTGCACTATATGTTACCTAACAAAATTTAATTTAAATTAAAAAAAAGTATATAGCGATAAGAATTTAAAGAATCTACAGGGACATTTTTGGGTGGGGCAGAGATTGATTCTTATTTTGGATGTTATTGGATTAAGTGACTTCAGGTCCCATCCAGTTTAAAATGTAAACATTCTCTGGGTTTTTTGAAAATAGTTAAATACTGTAGTTAAACTATACATATATATGTATGAATGATTTTGAATATTCTCTTCAGTCACTAGTATGAAACTACTGTTGACTTCATTTTGTGTTTTTATTGTGCTTTTCCTCTCAGTATTTTCTGGAATCAACACTATCAGTCTTCCTGAAATCTTGCTAAATTCCCTGTGAAATATAATAAGCTTTGAAGGCATTTTAGGGAATCAGATGCTGCTTGTAATACAGTTTAGTAGAGTTTGTAATATATTTGGGCACAGAATTTTAGAATACTATGGGGGC